TGTGAAGTCAGGAAAGTGCACCGCTGGCAGGGAGGGAGAAAGGAGGTCAAGAGCCAACGAGCAGGAACAGCAGTATTTACTGAATAGTGTTTGCTCACCAAGAGAAGCAGTATTAGGCCTCTATTCAAAACAGCAGCATGCAGAAGACAAGCGTCAGCAAAACAGGTGGCTGCAGAGCATTATTGCCCACACAAGTACCCTGGCTGCAAGCCTGTGCTGCTGCTATCACTGCCCACACTTTGTGCCTTCCTCCTTGAAATCAATCACCGATGCTGCTGCCTAGTGGGACGAGGCTGGAGAACACTCAAGGAGCCTGTGGTGTGTCAGATATTTTGTTTGTCATCCCCTGCAGAACTGTGAGAGAGAAGGGCATTCTCCTAGAAGTCAGCCTGCAGGTAACAAGCACTCCAGCTTGATATCATAACTAGAGAAAGCTGGAAAAAGCAATTAACTGCCTCTCTTATATGCAGAGTCTGTTTGCAAAAGAACAAAAGCTCCCCACGCAGAGTATTAATTAACAGTAGATTGAGCCTATCATATGTCCCATCGCTATTTCTGCTCTCACTCCAGCCTCTAATCTTGTGTATTACACCCAGGTATTGGTGTGAATGTCAACTGGTTAAATATCCCTTTTCTACACTGGATCTGACTTGTAATTCCTTGTCAGTGATTAGTTAACTGAGAGAGAGAACCACATATCAGAAGGTTTATCTGAGGCATGAGGCAGACCTGAGGGACAGTTACTATCCCTGGGAACTGCCCTTACCTTCCAACTAAACCAGGAATTGCCGCTAGTCGTCTTGCCTATGTGCTCTAATTGTCACATCTACAGCAAAAAAATAACACTCCCTCACCATATAGGTACCTCCAAAGTCAACTCTTCCTCACTTCAGTTTCCTATTCATAAAAACCTGATGGTTCAGCCACCCTGATAAAAAGCTAATTAATATACAACTTCTGTATCTACTATGACCAATAATCGCTGTATATTTCAGGTGACCTGAATGTACCCTGCGTATACCCATCAAGGAGCTGGTAGGTTTTTGGTTTGTTGGTTTTGGTGGTTTTGTTTCGTTTGTTTGTTTGTTTGTTTTTAAATGGGATTCCTGGTATAATTAAAAAATGGCTTGTACACCAATTTTCATATCACAAAACAATATAAAAACTGTAATATTAAATGGGAACACCATGCCAATTGCCTAGTTTGAAACAACTCAGTTATACACGTGTTATTCAAAAACTTTTTAAAAAAATTGTATATCAGCCCCAAAGCCTCCCAGATGCTGATTTTCCTGTGTTTAGAAAATGATGCATAAGTTTAAAGGGAAAAAAAATTCTAACATTTGCAAAGGAGCAAATGGTACCATTTCAGGAAAATCTATCACTTAATGTTCATGTAACCCGGACCATGTTTCTCACATCTCAGGTTTTCTTGCACTAGGCTAATAAATCTGGCATCTTATCCAGTGCACCCCACTAACTGCAGAGTTCAGTTAGAAAAAGTTCTTGTAATGAAGACAATTGTTAGGCTATGCTTTCAAAGAAGAGCTGCCCATTCTCTGTAGTTCATCTTTACCTGTATTTCAGCTGTAAGAAAATTCTGTCATGGGGAAGACATTCAATCCAGGATTCAATGTCAGGATTCAATCCAGACTACTTAGTCTTCTACACGGCCAAAATTAGCTTCACCTTAATTAACTTAGTTTCTCCACAGACTACCTAATGGAACTATCCCAATTTACTCAGCCTTCAGATCACTTACTTAAATGACATGAAATCATTATTTTCTTGTCTTAAATAAGCAGAAGACTGATTAGTTTGAATTTTTTAAGAACATTGCCTTTCTTATGCCCCGGTCCATATGAAGTGTGGGACTTTTTTGACACAATGCCAAAAAGCCTCCTACAAACAGCTAAGTGCCTTCAGCACTTTTCATACAAAACCAAGGAAAGACTGGGATTATTCAGCATGAGGCAGAATTATTCTGCTTAATAATAAAGGAAGCAAAAGACAACCATAAATGAATCTGAGACTGATGAGGAGGAATGCTATGCCACAATAAGCCTAGGTATTTAGCCAGGGCCCAATGCAAAACATAGCGAAAATACTGGGAAAAAAATCCCTGCCTTGTGTTTAACAGGACTTGGAGCAGTAGCCCTTTAGAGGGCACAGGACCTTTAAAGTGTTGTTTCCTACAATAATCCCACAGAATTGATTAAAACAATCAACGAGAGAATTTTTGAGAAAAAGCAACACATCTTCTAAAGGACAAAGAATGCACAAAAGAAGATGAGAAAGCATATGTGGCCAGATAACATTTGTAACCTACTAGGAAGTGTCATCTTGTACTCTGAATCAGACCTGAGGCTTACATTGCAGTTTTTTTTTTTTTGCTTGTCACTGACTATCTTTGCTGCAAGTATGGGATTTTTCGGAGTTATCTGTAAACTTAATTTAATTTAGAAAGGGTACTTTTGGCTTTGGAAAATAAAACTGAGTCTTACTGTTACGTCAGACAATTTACTCCAGGTAAAATTTCCCCAGTGATCACTGCAGATATGCCCCTTCCTGACACTCTTGCTGCATTAGAAGAGCAAAGCCAAAAGTGGCAACGTGAAGGGAAATGTAGACCCAGACAAACTCCGAGATGTGTCCAAGGACCACAGTAGCAAGTTGAGGAAAAGCTGAAACTGGTCTGATACCAATGATATGCCAAGAACATCCATTCCCTCTTAGATTAAATACAAATTACTTTTCACATACAAAAAGAAAATATTTTTCTAGCAATGACTGAACAAAATGAGCACTTCATGAAACCTGAAAACCTTAAGTCATCTTGGAGACAAAAAGGAACTGGAGAGGTGGATTACAATTCAGAAACAGTTTTTATAGACTTCATTCTAAAAATCAGTGTCTAGTCAGAAGAGGATTTTTGAGGTTTCTTTCTGCACATACGCAGATTTCCTGCTGTAATCCGTCAGCAAACGCTGAGCATTTAGAGAAATCTTAGCAGCAGCATTCAGCGTCTCAGAAAACTCTAACGCAACTAAGCATTTGCTAGAGGATATGTTGGAAAAAAATATATGAACAGATAAGCAATTTGGAAACACAATTTTAAATTTGGTACTATTTTTGGCAGGCCAATCCACATTGATCTCAGTCTTGGGAAAAGTTACTGTGATCCTCTTGGCAACAGGGACATAATGCATTTTAGGGAGGAGGTGGAGGGGACAGCTAAAGCTGCAAAAATGGCTTTACAGCCAATGAATTTACAGTCTGTCACACACGTTCTTAATTCTGCTCTTGTCCCAGAAAATAAGAATGGGATGCCAAACAGAGGAACTACCTCCCATAATAGTGGCAGTGCAGCCTTCTAGACGCAGACTAGGTAAATACAGGAGCAATCCAACTCAGCACAACAGTCACTATGTAGCCTGAAACAGCTCAGCAGAGTACACAAGCCTAGGGAAGGGCTTGGTCACTGCTGCTCCCATGTTAGCAGTGTACTGTCAATCCCAACATAACTCAGAAATGGTTAGTAAGAGAGCATTGTCTTTTTGGTTTCTGTGTCCCAATGCAGAATCAGCAGGTCCTATGTCAAAGACAGCTCCCTTGAGGTAGAGCACTCTTGACTGGCCCTTAGCTGAGGCAGATAAATTGCTTCAGAGAAATTACAAATGACAGGTTTGAGAACAAATTTGTTTCAGGCTTATTTTAAACCAGTGTTTTCCTACTTTGTGCCTTTTTGTCATGGGAGGAGGGGGAGGGCAGGGAGAGGACAACTGTATTTCCAATTCAGTAAGGAAAAAAAAAAACCTCATAGGTTTACCAGAATTAATTTGTTTTCATTTTAAGCTTGTCTAGTGTTTTAAGTGAATTCATGCAGACAGAATAGGAGCAGGCATACCAGTGCAGTGTTGTAGAAAAACAGCAGAGAACACTGGCAAATGAAGACAAATCCTTGGATCCCAAACATCAGGGTACAGATCCCACCAAGCTGTGTGTACAAATGGGGCAGGTATTACCTGGTCATAGCCAAGTAGAATAGTTCCCTTTGCAGCTGTGGCTTAGCAGGCTGTTGGACAGGCAGTGCCAAACCATTATAACTTTGGGAAAAAGTCATTTGCAGATGACAAATACCAAATAGAGTTTTGATTGTAGAGGGAGGAGTAGTCTGAGGGAGAAGGATTGTAAAGGGTGGAGGCTGATCAACTCCAGGCCATAGAATGAAACATCTGTATAAACTGATGCTAGGTGAGATTATAAGAATAATGATGATAGTACTGACTGATACTATCTCACTGTTCAATTTATCCATATTATCCTCTCAGCTCCTGTTTTCCTTGTGATCCCTGGTCTTTTAGACTGTTCAGATCGTAGTGCAGAATTATGGCTTTCATGGACAAATCATCACTGAGGGTATCAAATTATCAATACTTCCAAAGAGGGTGCTCTCAGATTTCAGAGACAACAGATCACCTCAATCACTTACTATGATGTTCTGCTTAAAATTCTGCTTAATTAGTGATATATCGCTCCAAATTAGCTGATACATACCTCTTTGGAATTATCTCTGACAAATTCTAGTAGTAGAACAAGAATATTGGCATTTGCTATCATAATTGCAGTCCCTGGCACTTGTCCCTGCCCTGCATTTCTAGAGAAAGCAGTAGCATCTGCCTCCTCACCATAACACTCTCTGCCTGCTGGGTGATACTGCACTTACTTTCCTTCCAGCAACAGCAGTCCTTTCCTACACTGGCAAGTGTAATTTTTCTTTGTAAGGTCAGAACATTAATACAGTTTTCTGAAACATGCGTGTTACTTTACATTTCAGTTGCACACACCTCCAAGGAGAAGAAAAGGTACCCAGCTGACAACAGCTTGAAAAAAACACAGAATACACTTCCAACCATCTCTGTTAAGTATTCAAGGGTATTTTTTAGAAAAAGATTATAGCTGATACCATTACAGTAATTACAGTAGGCTGACAAATTCACCTTTGACTGTGACCTGAGCACTGCACGATGCCTGTCCTGTGTTGTTTTCAGCCAGACAGGTATAAATGCCATCATCTTCTGGTAAAGCATCTTGGACAGTCAATTTTGCAACTCCATCTTCAAAAGTGGAATGGGCATACTGAATTGGCTGGTCTGCAGACAGAAAGGAAGAGAATTGTCTTAGTACATCAGCCACAAGTTTCAAAAGCACTTCTTGTTTTCAGTGAAGATGGGATACCTGACACCAGCCAGCACACTAAAGTGTAGAGCCAAATCCCACTCTCTGGTGCACAGCCACTGCTCTCTAGTGACTATAAACTGCAGCATCCCACGCACAAAGCCAAATATGTTTGGCAGACAGATCTCACCACTAGGTTCACTGGGTGCTACCTTGAGTGGCAGCAAGAGGAGAAATGTTTATCTTTGTATTTTCCAGAGATTTTACTTCAGATGGGTAAGAAAAGAAATGTTTTGTCTGTTTGCTTCAGACATTGTCTCCATCTTATACTTTACCTGAAACTAGATATTAGCATTATTGTCTAGACACACAAAACCTGGTGAAGCATGGAGAAGCACCTGAAGTCCTCCATCAAGTACTCTGTCATGGAAGACATTCCAAGAGACATGGCAAAATCTACAATGGAGCAAGGAGGCTGATTTACATAAGCAGTCAATCTACACTACAGCATGTATAGTCTGGTAAAAGACAAGTACACTCTGATCTGTACTGACATGACTATTAAAGAAGTTCATTTTAAGAAACTGGTTCCTTGAATTGGTTTGGACTATGCTTAAACGTTAGCATAGCCTGGTTAAAGTTGTCTTGCTATTGCTTCAGGAAGTGTCATCAATCTCAGCCTTACTTTCTGAAATGCTTCTGCAACCTGTTTTCCCAATATTAAATACTTTCCATTACTGATTCATCATTGGTAGCTTTCCCAGTGTATGCAATGCTTAAGAGGGCCTAATACCTGTGCATAAACATCATGCTGGAAAAAGAAATTACAGTCATCTAAGAGAAGAGGGTGAAACTGTAGAGAAATTGTGCAGGACTAAATCAAAGACACCTGCCACTTGGGAAATCATGGTCAAAAGGCAAGATTAAAATTGATTTTGTTGCCAAAATAATTTTAAAAGATTAGCTTTGGGGTTTCTAAAAACAAGCTCTGCACTATGAGCAGTATAAATGAAATGATGGGACAGATTTTTCTCTCATCTCTGATTTTCAACACTAGCAAGCTCAGAAGGCAGTCATTAGCTATGCAGTATCTATCTGCATATGAAGTTTCCTTCTGAAATACAACCATATAAAAATCAGTATGATCCAGTACTTACAGATATTATGAAATGTCATAGATTATCTTCCTCTTTTACTTACCCTAGAAGTCATCTGCTTATTAAGTTAGCAAATTTCCTACCACATGAAAAACTGAGGTGAACATTTTATCAACAGCCCAGCAGACTCCAATTTAGAATAAACTCTCTCCATCTTCTTCACATCACATATTCTTACTACCAGTTTCTTTGAGCTCCCTTTCAGTCAGTTACACACATACTATTAGGTAACTATTAGGTCCAATCATGTTTTTTTTTTTTTTGTATGTGGAAATAACATCGTGTTCAAATAGGCACATGTAGAGCTAAAGCTCAAACAAATAAAGTTTTCTGTAAGTGGACATGGGGCACTGGACTGCCTGCCTGGTCTGACTGTAGGATACCTAACCTGAGAGGGATCCTGTCTAGGATTCTGACATTGAAGCTATTAATGGTGCCTAATGATGCTATGATGATAACAGTATCAGAAAGACACTCAGGATAAAAGCTACGTCATCAAATCCAGAACAAAGCCTTTTTATTTCTGTTCTAAATAACCAAATGAACAGTGTAAGCATTCTACGTGGAAAAAGAAGATGTGGTCTCCTTCACTGCGTCCTCAAATTTTGTGAGGGCATTCTCTTTTTACTGCATCTACCAACAAAATTGTGACTATTTTTTAGCACTATTCACAGAATAGTAAATTCACTTATAGAATTGCCTTTTCATCAGACCACAAAAACCAAACACAAGTATATCAGCCTGAGGAATAACTTGCAGCAAGATTCTAACTTATTTCCATTGCACTTATATTTTGATCTATTAAAAACAACTCTCTCAGTAGTGAAATGTTCCCTTCTCCAGAGGCAGAACAGTCAAATCTCCATGACAGCTTGGCGGCAGGAACAATAACACAAAATACCTTTCTGCTGGCATGTTATGCCAGAATAAAGGAAATTTTCCTCTGGCCCATTTATTAAAAGCTTTCTGGAAAGATCAGAAAGCTATCCTGAAGCCAAACACTACTCAGAGAAGCGTTATGCTAAAGGTATGGTTGTACTGTTTTTAAATTCAGCAGAAAGAGTTTCAGTTCAGCTCAGGAAAAAAAAAAGCCACACAGAAAGCAATATGAGAAGGAAGGTATTAAAAATACAGGCATATACGCCTTATTCCTGCAATTTAAAAAGAAGTTACCAATAAAGTATTTAAAGAAGCTAAAGTATGTTAGTTACAAACTGAAATATTGTCATAGAACACGTGCAAAAACTTATTTACAAGGTTTTGGTGAAGCCAGAAATAAAAGGCGAAAAGTTTATTTTCAGGGAATTTGGCAGTGAGCTAGTGAAAATTCACAAATAAACTTAAAATAATGGGCAGAGTGAGTGCAACAGGACAGAAGAACCATCTTGAAAAAGCTGGGGAAGAACATTAAACCATCAAAACAGGTAAAAAGTGTAAGAAAGAAACTGAATATGCTAGAGCTGCAGAGCTCAAATAAAACTATGACCATATCTATAAAAATAATAAAATCCATAACATAAAGCTTCTAGAAGTGCACATGGAATTATGAGTATTAAACAACTGTTTATCACCCATTCAAATTTTTATCAAAATAATATATGAACAGTTATGTATCACATGCAGATGTAAGAAAGAAAAGCTTTAAACTGTAGTGGTATGTTCTAGGAGTCTTTAATGAAAGTACTGTACTTATGCCTTTAGAATAATATAAGATGTCACTAATTTTTATTATTATCACAGTTTCTTGTGCTTCTGCTACTTAATCACCACTGCCTTTTCATTTCAGAGAGGCGTCAGTGCACTGGCTTTCACTTACAGAACTGTAATGATCTGAAATCCAACTACCTGAAAAATCTCTACTTGCTTTTGCCTCCTCGTGATATTGATGCAATTGCAGTTGATTCCAATTAGAAGCTTGGATGCAATATAAATATGGTTATACCTAAACAGGGGCAGATTCACCTGAGATTGGTGAGAAGAAAGGTCAATGCAGAACAAACATCCTGAAAGGAGGCAGGGGAGCACAGTGCATCCCGGAGGCCTACAGGAACACGTTGCCTATTGATCTCTAGGCTGTGCTTTTCAGGCCACAGCAGTTTTCTGGTTGGGAAAGCAGGACATGGTTACACCAGTGCAGACACTATCTGTGCCTGATGAACACAGAAGGTCATTTGAGGTAGGAAGGTGTGTGTTGAAGACAATTGCATATAACTACATCATTCAATCAGTGAGGGAAGCCTTTATGAGTGGGGGTATCCTTGGAACATGAAGGTGAGAAGTGACTGACCCTGTGGGTTGGAGTTGCTCCTGGTGTGCTGCGAGACAATTCTTGCATAGCAGAACAGTGATTCTACTCACGTCTGCAAAGGAGGAACTGCAGAGTGGCCTTCGGACAGAGAAACAAATTATTTCCAATGGGACAGTGTCAGAGCCTTTACTCACGTGTTTCATACTGTAAATAAAGCAGTGACCTTTCTATTCTAGACATGCAGCTATTGGGAAGGGGGCAGATCAGGCTGTGGGAACAAACCAGTCTCAAGGTCACAGTTCATTTGCCCTGCCACCTTTTTTAGTTATCCCATTTACTCTTTAATAGCTAAAGAAAAACAGAGATCATGTGCAAATAATTAATTTTAAAACAAACCTGGAGGAAACATCTTTATGTCAAAATATGCTATTCTTTGTCTTTAAATCACACACACATGCATACACACAAAGATAGGCAGCTTGGAAGAGGCTGCAAAAAAATAAATTGCACTTCAGAAGTAACAGAAGTGATTGAGGATTAAGCTGAATAAATCTGTCTAGAGTTTCATAGATATGGCTTTCAATAGAAAGAACCCTTAGCCAAAGCATGTAGTCCCTGGATCTCTGAAATCATTTGGAATCTAAGCAAAATGCTGATGTTTGGGCCCAACTCTGATATTAAAAGGGGGCTGTTAAGAAAACTTGCAAGGTCAGTTGTGTAATCAGGGCAGGGCAGGAAATTATACAGTCTGCTAAAAGTAAAAATAAATAAATAAACACACAAAACATTACTAACCTTTCTTTTTTTTTTTTTTTTAGTGAGCTTTGGGCAAGCATTAGAACCTCAAGAAGCATATTTCTAGTAGAGAAGTATCCAAAAAAAGCTATGATGTTAAGATCCTGGAGACACAGCTTCTAATACCAGTCATGACCTGCCCAGCTGGGGGAAGGCTAGAACTGGACATAGCTTTCCTTCCCACAACAAAGAATGCTATACTGCACTTATTTTGCTTACAACTTATTAGCCCTGCAGGATGATGATGCCAGCCCGTTACTCTCAGAGCAGAGGCTAGTGCCAAACGAGCTGGGCTAGCCCAGGGTTCAGCATACAGTAGCTACCCGGCCTTTTTGTTGCGGCGTGGTGAAAAGCTGCGCTTAACAAAAGCCAGGACAGTGCTTGCTACAATCTTGTCACCAGAGTCCCCTGCCGGACATGCCGCAAAACTGCAGTAAGGCAGAAAACTGCTCAGGGAAAGCAGCCTCTGCGCGTATTCATCACATCACAGAATGCTTTGTTGAAAGGGACCTTTAAATGTCACCTAGCCCACCCCATACTATATGCATATAAATCGATTTTCTTCAAATATTATATTCTGGTGATTCAGGTGCTTTGTGCAGCACTCTAGCCTTGCTCTGTACTGCTGAGAGGGGCATCTGGGACTGTGGCTGTCAGGGCATGCATGCAGGTATGCAGAGCATGGGATACCTTACCATTGAGAAGCCACATGATCTGAGGCAAAGGCACACCTCCTACGCAGCACTGCAGCACAAAGTCTTGCCCTTCACTCACAGTGCATCCTTTCAAGACACTGGAAAAGCAGGGAGCAACCTCTTGAACTTTAGGCCCTTTAAAACCAAAACGAAAAAACTTTGTTTAACCCAAATTGACAAAATTATCTTTACCACTTAGTGACTTTTTTTAGGTATGCTTAGGTGATGTGGCTGGGCTAAGAGTCACCTCGTGTAAACAAGCAAAATCCATCATCCATGGAGGGGTTAAAAAAATCTATAGACGTGACACTTGGGGACATGGTTTAGTGGCCATGGTAGTGTCTGGCTGATGGTTGGACCTGATGATCTTAGAGGTCTTTGCTAACCTTAATGATTCTAAGTTTCTAGGAAAACAAATCAAAACCATGGTGAAATGTTTTTTGGTGAAATAGAAATAATTTTGGGCAATGAACTGGTATAAAGAAGAGGTTCTCCTGTAATCTACAGGGCAGGTGTTGCCAGCCCTCAAACTGTATATGAGGTGATGGTTTTCTGTGCCAGAATCCACCATTTGCAGCCAATCACTAGAAGTGTATGCAACCTATTCCCAGAGAGCTCAGCACAAAGAATGGGAAGGGTAATTATTTTCTTCTCTTGTCTGTCTTCTCCCAGTCCCTCTCCCAGGTTTCCTCTGGCTGGCAGTAAAAGAGAATGACTTATGGATGCACTTTACAGGTCTCCCATGAGACAGGAAGTGTCTTGGGCATCCTGGGTTAACCTCAGGCTCAGCAAATAGAGCAATGTTGCATAAAAATGATCATAGCTCCATGATAAAACCTAAAACCAAATGAGAAGATTAGAACTGAGGACAGGCTTTGCTAAGAGGCTGACAAATCTCTCAACCAGACCGGTAAGTCAGAGCCTTCAAGATCAAAACAATTTGTGATTTTGAAGTGTACCTGAATTTAGCAGAATGCAATTCTTGTTCCTTCACTTTTCTTCTTATTTGCTTTTCTACTCAGGACTGGTTTGTGCTTGCAAGACATTTTACATATGCAGTGTGCTATAGAAATGCTAAGCAAATCCAAAAGAACTGACTGCAGAATAAGCAATAAAATATTTGGCAACCTGTATTAAATACAAGCATTAATAGAAATCCTCAGTGGAGAATAGGACTCCCTGTGTATAAAACATTCAACAAGATGGTTTTAGCTATACAAGCAACAAAACAAATAGATCAGAAGGGAAACTGACACAGAAAGTGGCTTGCCAGCTAACCCACCCCACATCATTCACAGAGCTAGGAAACAGAACTAACCTGCACTGAGAAGTTGTAATAGGAATGCTACAGTCACCACCCTCTGACAGCTTTGAAAAGCCCAATCACAGTTTTCAGTGCAAATGGGCTCACGAGAACTTACTTCTGACAGTTAACAACCAGCTGGTGGAAGCCTGGCCTTTGGGGTTGAAAGCTGCACAGCTATAAGATCCACTGTCCCCCAAACAGGCTTTCTTCAACCACAGGCAATGAACTCCATCTTCTTCATATATTTGGACATCTTCTCCAGCTTTAATGCACTCACCCTCTTTGAACCATTCCACATCTGGTTTTGGTCTCCCTGAAACTAAACAATCAAGTATTTGAATTTTCATGAAAAAATATTCTTGTTAGTGTTCATTATTTACTTTGATGTAAATTAGGTATCTTTTACATATATATAACTGTGTAAACCTTAATGACCATGTAATACACAAAACTGTCTTCAAAAAGATGGTTACATATTTCTGATCTTCCAAAGCTTCTTGGCCAGCCCATCTTTTAAAATAACAAGTATTTGGTAACTTGAAAAACCCCAAGCACTTCTGTCTGAAAACTAATACTCTAAAACTCACAGACAAAATGGGTGTGATGAGATATCAGAGGAGAAATAAATAAATTAATTTCTCCCCATTCCTTCATACCATACTAAATTGGTTTCTTTAGAGCACCTAGTAGTACTTTGCATTCCACTACCACTGAGGCTGGTTATTCTGGGACTGTTCAGCCTGCAGAAAGGGCTTGAGGGTGATCTTATCAATGTGTATAAATACCTGAAGGCAAGGTGCAAAGACAGAGCCGTGCTCTTTTCAGTGGTGTCCAGTGATAGCACCAGAGGCCACGAGCACAAACTGAAACACAGGAGGTTCTGTCTGAACATGAACACTTTTTTACAGTGAGGATTACTAAGCACTGTCACAAGTTGCCCAAAGAGGCTGTGGAGTCTCCCTCCCTGGAGATATTAAAAAGTCACCTTCACATAGTCCTGGATAAACTGCGTTAGGTGATGCTGCATGAGAAAGGGTGGTAAACCGGAGGACCTCCAGAGGTCCCATTACTACGTCAAAACATTCTGTGATTCCGGGTATTTTTTCCAGACTGGGGTCCAGGTGTAGGCAAAGCAGGCAGCTTCCTAGGACACTGAACTTTCAGGAAGCAGAAGCGAATTAGCTGTGGCTTCACTGCCTGCTCTGCCTGTGCCAGACCTCTAGAAAACCAGATTTGGCTGCTAGTAGAGATGAGTGCAGTCAGGGCTTCATGGGGCAGTTGCTATGATGAGCAAAGAGGAGAAGTTAGGAAGCAATGCCAGAAGAGGTCACCCGCCCCACCCTTCATTTATTTGCAGCAAATAAGGCCCTCTGGGGCTTCCACCTTGCTGATGTTCTTTCCCAGCTCTACCCATATCATTATAGCTGGAGTGCTCAGTCCCAGAGGAGTATGCAAACAGTAAAAGATGTCAGGAATACCTGCAACAAAGATTTATGACATACTGCAGGGAATACTTCTGAACAGAGGAAATACTAGGATAGGGGATTGACTTGCTAGAAAGAGGAAACCATAACTAGAAGCAGGATTCCACCTGATATATGTCTGGAAATATACACACACGGAATTTCTTTTTTTGAAAAACAAAAACAAAAACAAACAAAACAACAAAACAACAACAACCAAAAAAACCCACCAAAACCCCTAAAACCATCTCCAAATTCTTCAAATCCATAAAAAATGTGGGAGGTGGCAGGTTACCATTACACCAACAAATGGGGCAAAACATGGAATGACTGTTACATATATTGGAACGCAGGAAATATTTTTTTTCTATGCATTTCCTCCACTAGAAACTAGAAGTTATTATTCAGAAAAGATTCTCCTTCTCTTCAGAAAAAATCTTCAGAAAAGATTTGAAAGATTATTTTACCCCACTTTAACAAGATTTTTTTTGTTCATTGTCAATTTTATTATCTTGCCCACCAGTTTTAAAAACAAAAAAAAAAAAAAAAAAATTCAAGCCCTGAAGTATCAAAGAACCTGGAAAAGAAGCTGATTTGTATTAACTGTACAGACCCAGAAGCATGCTGAGCTGACAGCCTGGCAGGCAGAGGCCTCCTACAGAGTGTAATAGTACATCCCTTGTCCATTGCAGCCAGGAAGCAGAGGTGCCTGTGAGAACAACCCTGGTCACCCTTTGCAAAGAGGATTCTCAGGAAAGTTTCTCAGATTATTTATTAAAGTGTAGCAGGGACATTCCACTGTAACTTCCCTGCAGACACCTTGCTTTTGTGTAGAAGAGTTTGTGCTTTGGGTCCAAAGTTGAAAGAAAGATATTCACTGGCTTCAGTAAGCACTGAATGATCTCTTTGGGTTTCTGTGCACTAGGGACATTTGCTTAGCAAAGAGGATCAAGAATTAGTGAGAATTTTGTGAAGTTTTTGAGATGCTCTGATGGAAAGCAATCTATCATATACATGAAAAATAAACTACTCAAAAGGTGTTAAAATCTTTGGAATATTTTCTCTCCTCCTTACTCTCCAGGCTTGTGATATAAATTGTATTCTTTACTCATAGGGCAAGAACTATCAAGAAATGAAATAAATTACTATAGTTTTGTTTTATTTTTTTTTTTCTTCCAGAGACATAAAAAAATTTTCTCCTCACTTGTGGGAACACTTTAAAGTGTGAAAGTTATTTAAAAAAACCAAATGAAACCCACAAACCTCCAAACCAGAAAAATATTTCAAAACTATTTTCTACTAAATCTGTAATAATAAAAAAAGAAGTGTTCCAAGTCTACTCCCTGGATTCAGCAAAATGCAGCTCTCATTACTCTTCTGAGAAGTTAAAACTCGGTCAGATTCTGTAAAGCAAACTCTAAATATCCCTTTTAATTCTGACTTTATAATTTCAGCTGTTAGGAAGCATTCAGATCAGCATTGGTTTGACCAAATATGAGAGGTAAAAGTGGATACCACAAGTGAAATGCAGTGACTGAGTGTAGTTTCTTATCCGATTGGGCTTTTTTGCTTAAGGGCAATATAACTAATTACAGTTCTGTGAAGTGTCTTGCACCCTCATATAAGAGGCCTTAAAACTACCTCCTAAAAAGAGTATTGATGACATCTGCAGAAACCATGTGGGAGAAGGGATGGACAGTACAGTACAAAATTATTTGAAAATTTAATCGAGAAGATTATTGTGGACACTGCATGTGATTCTGCATCTATCTCCAAAATGCTTTAAGAGGAGGACAGCTTGCAATGAAGAAGGAATTGCTTTCCCACTTCTGTGCACAGAAGGGGAACCTGACTAACCCCAGGGCTCTGATAACTTTTATTCCTTTACCTTTGCTCCTGAATTTTATCTCCTGGCCTTCTGATGCTTCCAGGCTCTGTGGATGGCTCTCAAACTGAGGGGGAATTCCCACAGGCTCTCTCTTCTCCTCCATGACAGTCTTCCAGGGTCCAGATCTGTTTTCTGCTTCTCTGCTTCTGGGACTGACTTGCCCTGCCAGAGGTGCAGTTGGTTGAGCTGACATCAGGGGCTGCACAGCCCTTTTCCTGTCTTCACCCTGCCTGATGAAAGAGGCCTGGGGTTCTGCCTTTGGTTCTGGTTGCAGTTTGACAGCTTGTAGTGTGATGGTGCTTGAAGATTTCTGCATGCCTTGAGATCCCTTTTTTCCTTCTTTAGGTTCTTGAGGAGACACTACATTGGCTTCTTTGTGCTGTCCCTGCTTAATACCTTTGACTTCTCTGGTGATGTAAAAGGTCTCTTTCTTAGCTGATGAGTTGTCTTCGGTTTCAACCATGTGCTCAGTGCTGTTGGATTTCAGCTCTTTAGCAATCCCATTGCTGGTTGCCTGCTTGAATTCTGAATTTTCAACAGCTTTAACAGGAAGTGTTGTTGGTTTTGGTGGCATGCTGAAGGAAAGCAGTAAGTTTACAGATACATGACACTGTGTAAAGACCAATTCTTAACAGCACTGGTAGAAATGTACAAGCCCTTAGCAAGAAGGTGAACTAATTAGCCTTTAGTCTCCTTCACACAAATTAGGAACATGGATGACAGAGGTGAAGCGAAAGGGTTCATAAAATGTGATCAGTGCTTAGACATCATCTCAGCTGAGGATTTTCTGCATATAAATCCACTGCACAGGTTCTAACATGTTTTGTCAGAATCTTACAGACACTGCTTTAGATAGAGAGCAATTACACAAGACCTTGGAATGTTAAGATGTAACACTACTTCATGCTTTAATAAATTGAGAACATGTATAATTAAAGCTCAAAAAGCCATTTAAAATAGTTCTCTGAAGGGAAATGAAGACATAAATTGTACAGTGAATTCA